AGTGCACTGAGTTTCTTGACTAGTTTCTCTGGGATGATAGTGTTAAAAGCTGAGCTGAAGTCGATGAATAGTAGTCTTGTGTATGTGTTCTTTTTGTCCAGATGGGATAGGGCAGTGTGTATGGCAATGGAGATTCTGTCATCTGTGGATCTGTTGGACCGGTAGGCAAACTGGTACGGGTCCACTGTATTTGGAATGGTGTCCTTAATGTGCTTCATGACCAGCCTCTCGAAGCACTTCGTGATGACAGGTGTTAGTGCCGCTGGTCAGTAGTCATTAAGACATGTCACTGTGGTTTTCTTTGGTATTGGGATGATGGTGGTTGTCTTGAAGCAGGTGGGGACTATGGCTTGGGCCAGAGACATGTTGAAAATGTCTGTGAATACACCCGCCAGTTGATTGGCGCAGGCTCTGAGGACGCGACTGGGTATGCCATCAGGTCCTGCAGCCTTGCGTGTGTTAATTTTTAGCAGAGATCTCCTCACCTCATCTGCAGACAGTGAGAGCAGCTGGTCAGTTGCGGAGGGTGCAGCTCTGATGACTGGTTCTGTGTTGTTGGCTCCAAACCGAGCATAGAAGGTGTTGAGGTCGTTAGGCAGGAAGGCATCATGGGCAGGTGCTCAGATGTTCTTCCTCTTGTAGTCTGTGAGGGCCTGCATACCTTACCACATACACCTTGGGTCATTAGTGGTGAAGTGTTCCTCTAATTCCTGTTTGAGCGTGTTTTTTGCATGTTTAATACCATTGTTAAGATTGATCCTGGCTGACCTTAGTTCTGATTTATTGCCGGATTTGAATCCAGCATCCCTTGCTTTGATTAGGGTGCGAACCTCACTGTTCATCCATTGTTTCTGGTTAGGAAAAGGTCTTATTTCTTTTGTGAGTGTGACATCTTCAGCACATTTCCTGATGTAGCTAGTGACTGACGATGCATATTCCTGCATGTCGGTGTATGATCCCTGTGTGGCTGCCTCTTTAAACACACTCCAGTCAGTGCATTCAAAACAGTCCTGCAGGACCGATTCAGCTCCTTCAGGCCACACTTTCACCGTCCTGACCACTGGTTTCACTCGCCTGTGCAGCTGTCTGTATGCCTGGAGGAGAAACAGAGTGATGTGGTCTGAGTTTCCACAGTGGGGGAGGGGTACTGCCTTGTAAGCATTCTGAATCTTGGTGTAAACATGGTCCAGAGTGTTTTCTCCTCTCGTTGGGAAGGAGACATGCTGATGGTATTTTGGGAGAACGGATTTGAGATTTGTTTGATTGAAGTCACCCGCGACGATAAAGGTTGCGTCGGGATGTGCAGATTCCTGTTTGTTTATTGCAGTGTGCAGTACCTCTAGCACTTCTTTGCCATTAGCGTCGGGGGGGATGTAGACGGCGGTGATAATAACAGTTGTAAATTCCCTTGGCAGATAGAAGGGGCGGCACTTGATCATTAAAAATTCCAGAGCTGTTCCATAAGGTACAGTGAGTGTAGTTATTACTTATTTTTATATTACATATGAATTTTGCAAAGTAAATACTAAATACTTTAGTATACAGAGGCATTTTTTCAGATATGTACAGTATGTTGTGAAAGAAACACTCAGAGAATTACATGACACCATTAACAACTGCTTACCCTGATGCAATACTTATTGTTGCTGGGGACTTTAATTGGGCCAACATGCATAAAGTTCTACCACAATATTATCAGTATGTCTTCTGCCCAACTAATGGTGTGCATACTCTTGATCACTGCTATATGACTATCAAAGACACCTGCTGCTCTATCCCTCGCTCACACTTCGGACAGTCTGATCACCTGTCAGTGCTTAGTACTTCTGCTGCTGGCTTACAAGCTTGCAATGTGTCAACAAGAAAAGTACTGTACAATACCGGACGGAGGAGACACATGAAATACTGCAGGACTGTTTTGAGCCTGCGGACTTGGCCATGTTTAAAAGTTCATTAGCGAACCTGCACGAGTACACTACAGTCATCACTGATTTTATTAAGAAATGTGTGGAAGACTGTGTGCCTATAGTATAAGGACAATTCATGGTTTCCTAACCAGAAACCATGGTTTAATAGTGATATTCATAGTAAGCTGAGTGAAGGCTTTTAAAACTGCCAATCTGGACCTGTATAAGAAGGCAAGGTAACTCCGTTGGGCCCCTGAGCAAGTCCCTTTACCCCAACTGCTCCAGGGGCGCTGTACAATGGCTGACCCTGCACTCTGTCCCCAAGCTTCTCCCCCTGTCTGTATGTCTCATGGAGAGCAAGCTGAGGTATGTGAAAAGACAAATTCCTAATGCAAGAAATTGTATATGGCTAACAAAGTGAACTTATCTTATCTTATCTAAGGTATAATTTGTGGAGAGCTATCAGGGATGTTAAAAGGCAATATTGTAACAAACTAAAAATACAAGCTGCCTCTCCGAATGCACTCCAAATGTGGTGGGGTATTCAGTCTATAGCAAATCAAAGCTAAAATAAGCAGTGTTATGGGGGGTGATCAGGTCAACCCAGTCCAGTATTGGAGTATAACTACCCTCTGTTGTGGACATGTTTACAACTCGCTCTCTCAGGAAGGCTGGGAGTATCG